TCTCTCCCTGTTTACGCTAACGGTCTTAATGTGCAGGTCAGGTTCGATGTAGTCGAGGGCCTCCCAGCTTACAACATGATTTTGGGGACGCCATGGTTGCATCAAATGGGAGCCATTCCGTCGACGTATCACCAGGTCGTCAAGTTCCCAACGCCTTGGGGAATAGAGTCCATTCGGGGAGACCAGGTGGTAGCCAAGTCTTGCTATCAGACGGCCATGAAGCCTACAGCAAACCCTCCAACTTCAGCATAGCAACTAAAGGGTGACCCAGCTTTGGAGGAAGATGACGAAAAAACGGAAGAAGTAGTCATCGACAACGAGCATCCAGAACAGGTCATCCGCATCGGGACAAATTTGCCAGCAAGCCTCAGGGCTGAATTGGTCCAGTTTCTTAGACAACATAAAGATGTATTCGCTTGGAGTCACAAAGACATGACAGGAATTGACCCAAAGATCATCACGCACAAGTTAAATGTCAATCTGTCATATAAACCAGTCAGACAGCGAAGAAGACGTTTCGCAAGGGAGCGGAACGACATCATAAACCAAGAGGTCGAGGCTCTTCTCCAAACCGGGAAAGCCAGAGAAGTCAGGTATCCAGATTGGCTAGCTAACGTCGTTGTCGTTAAAAAGAAGGCAGCAAAAGGAAAAAAGGCGAAATGGCGAGTGTGCGTGGACTTCACCGATTTGAACAAAGCATGTCCAAAGGATTCATTTCCCATGCCACACATTGACGTACTGGCCGATGCGACTGCCGGACACGAGATGCTCTCATTCATGGACGCCTTTAGTGGATACCACCAGATTCAGCTACATTCTGATGATCAAGAAAAGACGGCCTTCATTACTGAAACAGGTACATATTGCTATGTTGTTATGCCGTTTGGTCTAAAAAATGCAGGTGCAACGTTTCAAAGGCTCGTCACCATGATGTTCAAAGATCAAATTGGAAAGACCATGGAGGTATACATAGACGATATGATCGTCAAGTCAAGGAAAGCTGGGGACCACGTTAACAACCTGGCAGAATCATTTAAGAAGTTGACGGAATACAACCTGAAGCTCAATCCGGCGAAATGCGCCTTCGGTGTGTCCTCAGGGGAATTCTTAGGCTATATCGTCAGTGAACGTGGAATAGAAGCAAGCCCAGAGCAGGTCCGAGCTATCATTGACATAGAATCACCAAAGTCAGTCAAAGATGTGCAGAGGTTGACAGGTCGAGTTGCTGCTCTGAACCGCTTCATCTCCAAGTCATCTGACAGGTGTCGCCTTTTCTATGACGTACTTCGTAAGAACAAGAAGTTCGAGTGGACAGATCAACACGAGCAGGCACTCCAGCGATTGAAGGAATATATGACAACCCCGCCATTGTTGACAAAACCAAAAGAGGGCGACGAGCTTCAGCTGTATTTGGCCGTCTCAGAACATGCTGTCAGCGCCGTGTTAACCAAAGAAGATGACGGAATGCAGACACCGGTATACTATGTAAGTAAGTCATTGAATGGACCCGAAACCAGGTACGCTTTACTTGAAAAACTAGTTTTAGCTTTGATTACTGCATCGGTTAAATTACGTCCATATTTTGAATCACATACTATTTGTGTGCGGACTAACTATCCCATGAAATCAATCATGAGGAAACCAGAATTGTCAGGTCGCATGGCCAAGTGGTCGATCCAGCTGGGAGCCTATGACATTCGGTACGAGCCACGAACTGCCTTGAAGTCCCAGACGCTTGCTGATTTTGTGGCGGACTTTAGCCCTAAGCTCCAAACCGAAGCCGAAAAGGAAGCATGCATCATCACAGACGGTCTGCCTCAACAGAAGTGGACATTGCACACAGACGGGGCGTCGAACTTAAACGGAGCAGGCCTAGGCGTAGTGCTAAAGTCGCCACAGGGGGACACTATGCTCCAAGCCGTTCATTGTGATTTTAACGCCACAAATAATGAAGCGGAGTATGAGGCGCTGATCGTAGGCCTAACTTTGGCAAAGGATTTGGGTGTCAAGCTACTCCAGGTAAAATGTGATTCCTTGTTAATAGTTAACCAAGCTAATGGTGTTTATGCAGCAAAGGATCCCAAGATGACGTCCTACCTGCAAGTCGTCACGAAATTGATGGCATGGTTCAACGAGATCACACTTGAACAAGTACCAAGAGAAGAGAACACGCAGGCAGACGCTTTGGCCGCAATTGGGTCATGTCTGGGGGCAGAGGTCAATAGTAACATCCCCTTCGTCCACTTGACAAGTCCGACAATTGACAGGTTGGAGTCCGTCAGCACAATCAGTTCGTCCTCACAAGATGACTGGACGCAGCCATACATAGCATACCTGAGACATAACATCTTGCCATCAGACAAAAAGGAAGCTAAGGCATTCCTCTCCAAGGTAACCAAATTCTTATTAATCGATGATGTACTGTTTAAAAGATCTAAAGCAGGTCCATACCAAAGATGTTTAGCACCTCAAGAGGCCATAAGGGTGCTCAAAGATCTTCATGAAGGCGAGTGTGGAAACCATGCTGCGGGGAGAAGTCTGTCCAACAAAGCTCTCCGCTTTGGATACTACTAGCCAACCATGCGGCACGACGCAGTCACCTTCACCCAAAGTTGCCAGGCTTGTCAAAAGCACGGACCGATCCGTCATCAGCCGTCTGAGTCGCTTCATCCGGTCCTCTCACCCTGGCCTTTTATGAAATGGGGAATGGACATCGTGGGAAAGCTGCCCGAAGCTCCAGGACAGAAGGTTTACATGTTGGCGATGACGGACTATTTCTCAAAATGGGTGGAAGCTGAACCATTCCGTCAGGTACGCGATGAACAGGTAATATCTTTTATTAGACGTAATATACTTTGCAGGTTTGGCATTCCGTCGGAGATCGTGTGCGATAATGGGTCCCAGTTCATAAGTACAAAAACCCGACGCTTCTGCGAAAGGTACAACATCAGGTTGGAAACGTCGACTCCTAGGTACCCACAATCCAATGGACAAGCCGAGTCTAGCAACAAAATCATTGTGTCCAATTTGAAGAAAAGACTCGAAAAAGCACAAGGCAGATGGGCTGACGAGTTACCCCTGATATTGTGGGCTGACAGGACGACTCCAAAGAATGCGACCGGACAGACTCCTTTCTCCTTGGTGTATGGCTGTGAGGCGGTCATACCGGCAGAGGTTGAAGTGCCATCTTCAAGATACGGGCTTATGACTGAGGAACGGAACAACTTCGAGTTAATACATGATCTTGACACTATCGACGAAATTAGAGAGAAAGCTAAGATCCGTCTACAGTCCTATCAGCAAATGGTGGCAAAGAGTTTTAATAAAAACGTTCGGGCAAAGGTGTTCAAGAAAGGAGATTGGGTTTTGAGAAGAGCGTTCGGAAATGAAGCAAGCGGGAAATTCAGCCCCAATTGGGAAGGTCCGTATAAGATCGTCGACATTGTTGGACAGGGGGCATATCGCTTAGAATCAATCGACGGTAAACAGGTTCCTAGAAGCTGGAATGCGGTACACTTAAAACTTTTCCATTTTTAAATCTTTTCATATTTTATGATCCGATTAGAGCGAGTCACTAACTTAAGCATCGGAGGGCCGTTGGCTCAAAGCCAACGGCCAGACCTAACAACACTTTGAGGTGCAGGAAGCCAAAAGAAGCGCTGGGTAGGTCCCTTGGATACGTCAGACATCCTGGTAAGGGCCATGACGTTTCGGACATGACGGATCTGTCATAACGTCACGGTAAGTTTGCATGTCACTTTGAAGTTATGCCTTATCTTCCGAGTCGAATTTTGGCAGGACAGTGAGTTTAACCTGAAAGGTTCCATGACAATTATAAGTTTGAATGAATGATTTAAAATACATTAATGCCACTAAAAGTTTTTGCGTATTCAATAATGTTAACATTTTCCTTTGAAATTTTTCACACCTATAGACTTAATGATCTCTTGGCCATTGGTATAATAAGAATAGTATTTCCCTTTGAATTATTTTGCAACATAATTTTTACTGACTTAATCATCGGAGGGCCGTTGGCTTAAGGCCGACGGTCAATCGTGATGACATTTTGGATGCAGGCGACAGATAAGCCTCCCTGATGCGTTGTACGTATCGGATGCGACAGGTTTGTCAAAGCGTCACCACCGGACTGTATGTTGCTTTGAAATGTAACTTCTCGCTTAATCTCATAGGGTTCTAGGTAAATGACCTAGAATATAATTTGATCAGTTAAAACCTTATTCGTTGGTAAATCTCTGCATTATTTCATTCATTCCTAACTTAATTTGAGGTCAGTGCTTTTTGGACCCCTCACGAGGGTCATACAATCGACATATTGTTTATAAAATGTTGTGGTGCCTAGAATACACATCTACACCAAGTGGATTCCTGATTTTCTACTAACCTGATCGTCGGAGGGCTGTTGGCCCAAAGCCAACGGTCAGCTTTGATAGTTTTCTTTTTTAATGTCTGCAGAATTATATTAAGGCTTAAAGTCAGGAGATCGTTGAGACAGCCCAAAATGTCAGCCACGTTCAACTGCACACTAGACGGTGACATCAATTGGGAAAGGGCTGGGCTGCCCATGAGAAGATCATGGATAACAGTCCCAGCCGGCCCTGGTTACATATATACATTGGCCAAACAACAGTGCACGTACATCACAACACATATATTACGCACATATGACATCAATAGCACACGCACATGATAACAGAAGCAAAAAACGTCAAGGTGTTCATACCACACATAGCAAAACAAAAGTCAGAGTTGAGAGGATCTAAGCATTATGTCCCGGATAAACCACCAGGAGACCAAATGCCAGCAGAGTTATGTCAAAAGCATAATAAAGAGAGTTGTCAAAACCAGGTGACCTAAATAAGAAAGTCAGGAATCAGTCGTCCTTGGATTGTTTGGAGTCAGCTTCGCCATCTGACTGTCCAACATCAAAACCATCATCCCCAATTGGAGGGTCCATCTCTTCTTCCAGTTTCATCCACGTAGCTACATCTTTTTCTGCCTCCCAGTTAGACGTTTCACCAGCCAGGAAAGACTTCATAAGTTCCCCTCTAGTTTTCCAAACATAGTAGCAAGCTGCGTCTGTCACCTCTTGTCTCTTTCGTCTACCATAGGCTTCTAGGACCTGAACCCTTTTGGAGAGCTTTAAGTTCTGAGCAGCTTGCATAGATGATTCATTTATCAAACCTCTAATTTGCTGAGCATTCTCTTTGAGTTGAGAGAGGAGAGTCGTTTCTTTCCTTCGCAATTCGTCAAGTGTCTTCTCCAGGACGGCCACCCTTTCTGCGGCAGCAAGACTAGCTTGAACACTCTGTTCAAAGCAAGGGAGTTAATACAAGAACTTTGGACAAGGGCGAGATTTCACCAAGAATAAAAGGGTAAATACCTGGAAAGCATAGGCTGAGGAAACAGCTAGGACTCCGGCTGGGGGCAGCCCGTTGAAGAGATCCGGGGTAGATGGCAGCAGAAGTTGTGACATCTCATTTTTCATTGATAGTCCATCCTTTAAGCTACAAAAATTGGGAGAAAAGGACAAGTTCAAATTCTGGAATTTTGAAGATGCTGCTGCTTCACTTTTAGGTAGAACGAGGTCAGGGTCCTTCACAGCAGACTCAGAATGCTTGGGAAATTTCGGTGGAACACCAGTCAGTTTGGTTGGAGCTCTTTTCTTACGAGTGGCCATAGCCAGCAGTTCATGGGCTGTAGGGCCCAGACGAGAACTAGAAGAAGAGGCGGCTGCATATTAAAATGAAGACAACCACCCTTGAAACGAAATATAAGGGGAGCAAGTCAAGGAACAAACAGGGGTAATCTAGTGTAAAATTGGTTACCAGGGGAAGGAACAGGGCACTTGCTGGGCAGAGACTGAGAGTTTTCCGCAGCTGGGAACACCACCTGCATTGGAACAGTCGCATCTACTTTCCCTTCACCATCAGCTTGGGAGCTTTCTGATTCCTGTTCTGAATCCTCAAGAGAGACTACAGACGAGTCTTGAACCAGATTAGGTTTAGTCCTCAAATTACGACTAGAGCGCCTTAAGCCAGCGGACCTATCAGGAGTTAGAGTGGGGGGAGTACCTGGTGATTCGGCAACCAGGTTCACAAACCAGCGTTCTTCCACGGGGATAGCTTGGATTTGTGCCGTTCTTTCCTCCGAGTGCAACCCATGAGGAATGGAAATTGATTTCTTTTCTGAAACATAGGAGGCTATAAACAACTACACTTCGCAGTACAATACATATATGAAAAACATAAGTGTAATGCTGATACGTAAAAGGATAACATCACTATAATGATGAGAGCAAGATATTTTCATGTACCTTTTTGCAGATTATCTCCCAGAAAAGACCCATCACTGCCGAGGGAGCTTTTGAGAACGAAGAAATACCCGTGCATCCAACCCCTATCATTCGCCTTATCAACCTTGTGAATGAGTCTTGGCTTTTTGCCCTTCATGGCCAGTGTGAATCTGCCAGGGCCGGATGTTCGAAGTTCATAAGTGAAACCCAAATCCTCAAACTCGAAAGGAATGCTGTACTTCTCGCTGAGAACTTCCAAAGCGCGCAAGATCCTCCACACTTGAGGCATGATTTGTGAGGGTGAGAGGTTGACGAATTCCAAGAAGCCACGAGTTAGGGGAGTAAAGGGAAACTTCATCCCAATCTTGAAGGGATAGTACAAGAAATTGACCCAACCAGGGCAGAACCAGTCCATCCGCTCATTCGCCGCCGGGAAACGAATGGTCGCTGAAGAAGGAAAACCGGCGGAAGTCTGGATGTGCTCCACTTGGTCCTCAGTGAGTCTCGCCTGTTTCGAGCTTTTTGCTTCAAGAATAGACAAAGGGGTGAAGTTTTGGGAAGCCATGAGGTTCAATTGTTGCTGGGATTCTGGAGGATGACAAGAGGAAGACGACGCACGACGCTTGGTTTACTGATACGGAGAGGCGGTTTGATAGTTCCGAGACTGTGCGTAGACCGATGGGATTCTGAGTCTTATTTGGTTTTAAAGAGAAACTAAGTCCTAAACCAAACAGATCTCAGAATGGGGGCAATTGTTGGACCATTAATAATAATGGTAGTCATCGGCCCAATTCATATTTGCAGCTAAGTGGCCCAGTGAAGAATCAAAGTCCAGTCCGTGGAAGTTAAGCCAAGTCAATGCCTCTAAGTGGATAAGATCGAAGTGATCTTGGAGGAGAAGAAAGGAGCATGCGTTCAAAGTGGTGCCGCCTATTTCGACGGGCAGTTAGGAAGTTGAGAAGAGGGAAGAAAGCCTATTTAAATAGGATACGCTGTAAATAGAGGGGGATCTTTTCGTTTATCAATTACTACTCGAACTGCTTACTCTATCTCATTCATATTCTAAAAGCTTTCATACCCAGATTCTAGCACAATACTTGTGTAATTTCTTGTGCGAAGCCTAGTTACTTTATTCTTAATTGTTTGGAGAAATTGTTAGTTTCTTGCTTAAACACTAAACCCGCTAAAAATTTCCACCCAAAACCCCTCCAAGTTCTTCTATCATTTGCAATTCCTCTTGAAACCAAAATGTGTTTATATTAGCCGCCACAATGTTTGGTTTGTTTGGTGTGTCTGTTAGAGATATCGAGTCAAAATGGATAGTTTGGTAGGGGGCTTTTCAATCATGGTCTCATGGACCCCTCAAGGCCTCAACTTTTTCCATTCTTGTAGATAAATTAAAACAATGTAAGGGTTGAAAAGTCACACTTCAAATCGTACACGAAATGTGTCCTACTTTACAAGACAGTACCTTGCATATATAAGGACAAAGGCACTTGCAAGATTTTGGTATGAACTCAGAGAACAATTTGGGAGGTGTAACTGAAGCTTTTGAAAACATTATAAATGGGGATTGTTGAAGCCAATCCTGTTGGAAATGCCCCACAAATGGTTCAAGCTGTAGCTTCATATGCTCCGAAGCACAAACCTGGTCAGCCACCATCTATTGGTGTCCCCTGGAGCACTGGATTATTTGATTGCCATGAAGATCAAGCCAATGGTTAGTCTATTTTTAGAACTTTAGTGGTTTTCTTGCATGGATACTCATGTATGTTACTTTATCTTGGAGTTTTCCTGATTTATATGAAATCCCTCTGCAATCCCCCCCCCCCCCCCCCCTCAATTTTACTGGAATATCAGCTGCACTTTGGAACAACACTTCAAGTTAGTTCTTGGTTTTTCTCCATGTTGAATTACGAGGAGGTTTGCTGGTAAGGGTGAAATGGTGGATGATATTGATGAAGTTGCATAAATTATTAAAGGCTAAAGGGTCAAATAGGTACATGAACTAACTTAAAGTGTTCAATTAGCCCCTTATATAGGAGGTTCTGCCCGGCCGTCGCCAATTGGGGCGATTCCCGGTGGAATTTTTTGATGAAATTTTTTGAGCATCTTCTTCATTAAGTATAGTTTACCCATACCAAATTTCATCTAAAAATTCAACCGGGAAGGCAGTCAAATGATTTTTTGAAGATAACTGCGCAATTAAACAACGCAGTACAATTCGGAAAATCATTTGACTGCCTTCCCGATTTAATTTTTAGTTGAAATTTGATATGGGTAAACTAGACTTAATGAAGAAGATGCTCAAAAACTTTCATCAAAAAATTCAACCGGGAACCGCCCCAATTGGCGACGGGCCGAGCAGAACCTCCTATATAAGGGGCTAATTGAACACTTTAAGTTAGTTCATGTACCTATTTAAACGAGAAAATAATGTTATGTTGTTAAAAATATAAAATAGAGGAAAAAATATGCTATATACTTCCTCCGCCCTTATTCAAAATTTGTGTAATTTTCATTTTGTAGGACGGTCCTAAGTAAAGCACTCCCCGTATCTAAAAAACATATTGTCTTTTTCTCTTAGTCCCATATTAGCGTAACTGTACGATGTCAAACATTGTCTAAACAACATTCAGCCTCACTAAAAAGGGTATTTATGAAGTCAAAAAGACCGACTTCGAAAGAACTTTTTGAAGGGAACGGAAGGAGTATGAAAACGGAAAAAATAATAATGCCCATCAACTTCAGCCAAAAAAGTACCTCGTAATCTCTTACAGTCTTATCCACGAGTGTTTTTTAATAAATAACTGATTCAACAACTCCAACAAGGTACATAGTCAAAGATAAAGGGTTTAACAAACTGAACAAGGCTATATAAGCTGAATTTGTTGTTTGCGAACAGCCAATAAATGTTGTGTACTTTTAATGCATGGCAGCTTTTATGACAGCAATTTTGCCATGCGTAACATTTGGACAGATATCAGAGATCCTGGAGAATGGAGAGATGAGTAAGCCAGACAGCTAACTGCCCTTTTGAACTTTTTAAGGTTGCCATGTCATCATGAAAAGCTGAGGGGCACTAAGAAAGTGATTTTGTTGGGTGATTGAATTGCAGAATGTGCATTAGGGTCATTTATCTACCTGCTGTTGATGATGCCTGCATTCTGCTTTCAGTGGATAATGGGATCCAAGTACAGAACCAAGCTGAGGCAGAGGTTTAATCTTGTTGAAGCTCCTTATTCTGATATTGTCTCTCACATCTTTTGCTCTTGTTGCTCTCTCTGCCAGGAGTTTAGGGAGCTCCGCAACAGGGGTTTTGATCCCGCTAAAGGTATCATTCACAACTCCTTTGACATGGCTCTTAGAATAGTGCCCATTTGACAAATCGTAATAGCCGAAAATGAGACTGGTTCAATTGGATGAATTTGTTGAGTTATATAAATAAATGAAAAGCACTAATATTTAAAAAATGTTAGGACAGTAAACGTTCCCTGGACTCCCATATTAATATATTTATTGTTTGGTTTGAGCCAAGCTCACATAGACACTTATATTTGAGTTGATTCTCCCTTACTTTTCCAATGTGAGAACTATGTTTTGCCCTAACAAAATGAATCTTGAAGTGCCATTTTAATTAGTTTCAGCAGAAAAGAAAGTAACTTTTGCTGTAATTTAGTGTTGAGTGAAATACCTGTATTTAAGCGTTTATAGACAGGGACGTAGGTAGGGGGCATGCTAGCCGCCTAGCCCTCGGCTTTTGTAAATCCACTCAATTTATACCGCTGACTATGCAACTGTTTATAGTGTGTTATAACATGCATGAAGGGATGCATCATTTGCAGGATGGGATGGTTTACTTGCTGAGCAGCAGCAGGTTACTGGAACATACGTAACCCAGCATATGAGCACTCCTCCCCAACCTCAATTCATGTCAAAGTAGAGATTCCTTTTTATTTTTGCATTCATTGCCGGCCAATTGTTTTTTTGTTACCATTTACTTGTACTTGTTCCTAGACTAGATTTCCTACCTGTACAGTACAAATAAATATCCTGGTGATATATTTTCTTGAAGAGAATAATATTATTGAGTAATACATTCTTTGGAAACATTCATGATGTAAAAAGAATTCAATCAGTGCATACATTTCTTGACAATCTTGATAGAAATGACTCTTTTTTTTGGGATGTTTTCACAAAGTGTTAGGATGTTTTCTTTGGGATTGTTTTTAGTCCCGGACCAGACTTTCATAATTATAAAACACACAGAGAACAGAGATTTACCAAATCAGTTCAGACCATACCAACAAATTTTAGTCCAAAAGAAAACATCTTAATGGGCGCTAGTGTGGACTTGAGATCGAGGAGTCGCTGAATGGACTACTACATTAAATAGAATTCTCAGTTAAATACTACCTCCGTCCCCAAAATAACTTCTCATTTCCATAAAAGGTGATTTGTAATAGCAAATGTCATAACTATTCTTACTTTTTGTTTGTTACTTGATTTGACATAAAATAAAGGTATAATTGAAAATTCAGAACAAGACTTTATCCTACATAAATATGAGTATAAGGAAAAGTGGGAAATTAATTTTAGGACAGAGAGTATATATGAACATCCACAATCAAATTCATAGTTTATCGTACAGGGTTCTTTATCATCACCACAAAAAGATTCACATTCCAATTTCTTAAATAATTATACTTTTCCATCATAGTTTTTCAGAATTATAAACTTAGATCAACATTAATACTTTTTATATACTTGTATTTGATTAAATAAATTTACTAATTATATGTTTTAACTTTACTTAATTTTTGTAAAAAATTAATCCAAATAATGAAAAATTAATCTTACATATTAACCTATAGTTATAAAGATCACATAAAACCTCAAATTGCTATAAAATGACATTCTGCTAATTCCATGAATTAATCAGTCGCTAAAATATTTTTTTTTATGCAAGTTGCTAAAGTAATTTTAGCATTAATACTATTGAGTAAAAACGATTTGTTACTAGAGACTTCGAGCTCTTTCTCTATATCTGTGTGTGGCACTTTTCAGTGGTATTTCGGATGGTTTGCACCATAAGTTGTAATACGAAGTGGAGCCTCATTAAGCAATTAAAAGAACATTGACTACACATGGAATAAGTATCGAGAGATGACAAATTGACTATATCTTAGGTGATATGATCCTTCTACTTAAAGTATCTCAAAGTTCATACCTTGTAGTATTATACACCAGATGAGAATACATGGACACATTGACACAATGAACTTTTGCCTCATTGAAACCACAGTCCTGGCTGATAGCAAATGATGTAACAAAAGAGAACAACTTGATGGGGTCAAGCTTTCTTAAGTTCCTCCATTCAATGTGAGAATACTTCATCCAATCAAATAACCAATTAGCCTAGAGTGTCAAAAGAGCAGCTTCATCAGACAAAAGTTCCATAACAAATATCAGTTGGAAATACTCCTTAATAGACACATATCAACAAACTTCAGGCTGATTTGATGTAATTGTTCAATCTTTCTCAATTCATAAATTGTTTTTACACAGCTGGACTAATTTCTGGTTTTCAAAATCCCCTGGATGATCTGTCAATTCCAAATCAACCTGACAACCTCAGCGGCTTCCTCCTCCTCCTCCTAAACTCCTCAATCCCTTACTCAAAACTGCAGCCAGGTAATCATCACATTCAGCATCACTCTTCTTAAGAAGCTGATAAACCCTAATCGTCCCGTCCTCCCTCCCAGCAGCAATCAAAGCCATAACTAGCTTCACCAACTCTTTGGAATTGGAAACGTCAAGCTGAATCGCACAATGATTTTCCAAATCTCAAATTAAGCGGTCCATGTCCTCTGTCAAGCCATTCCTGATCCTAGCACAATCGGCGGCCGTTTACGCGTATAGGTTCAACTCCGGCGCGTTGTATTCCGGTCAACGGGCGGAGAAGAGTTCGAGAAAAAATCGGAATTGCCTTGACGGATAAGCTCTTCAAAAGGCGTTGAGAAGGTCTAGCCTAAAGAGGCGGGAAACTGTAGAAGAAACTATGGAGGAAGGGTTTCTTTTCAGGGCACGCTTTAAAGCCTGGATGGCTTGGATCGCCTCGGTGCTGCGAATTCGGCCATTGAATAGCGGTCCTGGTTCCAACATCGAGCCGGAATGTAGCTTCCAGAGGCGGCGGAGGTCGCTGGGCGGGCGGTTGTTGAACGTAGCCGCAAAATGAAGTTGAGATTTAAGGGAAGAGAGGCCGCCATGAGTGAAACGCCGCTGCCGATAAATTTGCTCCGATGTTTCTGTTTTTTTACAGAAGTTCCGTTTAGAAGATCAAATAAAAAGTAAAATTGTTGGTGACAAAAATAAAGCGTCGACAGCAGGATTAGAACCTGCGCAGGCAAAGCCCAACAGATTTCGAGTCTGTCTCCTTAACCACTCGGACATATCGACGCCACTGATGAAAGGTCATATCTAGGTGTATAAGTAGTTTATATAACACAAATTACCCTAAATAGGAGTAAAAATATTTTGAAATTCGAAAATAGGAGTATCATGTTTTTTATTCTCTGAATAGGAGTAATCTGCCAAGTTTGGAAAAAAAATGACATGTTTAAAGCCTTGTAATTTCCAAACTTGGCAGAAATTTACTCCTATTTAGGGAATAAAAACATGATACTCCTATTTTGGAATTTCAAAACATTTTTACTCCTATTTAGGGAATTCTCTCTTTATATAACTTCTTTCATTATTTGTGACATGTGCATTGTGTATTCATACATGCTTCAAATTAGTTTTGATTTCATGCAAAATGAACACTAATGAATTTTACGATGTTTTGATAGTTTTCACATTTTACATACATGTAGATCTATCATATCATTTGCACATAAATGTGATCTTACGTTATACATAAGAACATGTGGTGAGATAGAATATGTTACGTACGTTTAGTGGAGGACATGTGGGCTGGGAGTAAGTGCCTCCGCATCCATCCCTGAATTTTAGTATTAGTATTCAAGATAAAAATAGTGCCTCCTATCCTGGAAATTAGTATATATCGTATTTTAAATAGTAATGATAATTTTAATACATATAATATGACTAAGTTTAGTACGGAGTATGATATAAATATTATATTGCAAATAAAATTAGACATAGGGAGAGTATGGTAAACCATTTTGTCGGTTCGGAAGAACAAATAAGAAGGATACACAGGGATTAAATTAAAGGGTCAACTACTCTCATAACTTATTTTATAAAGTTTTGTAAGAAACTAATTTATAATAAAGTAATATAGATTGTTTCATATTATCGTCACACTTCATCATACTTGACAGAATCCTTATGAACCAGTCTCATTTCCAAATAGATTTTAAAATTTCCTACACCAAACTTCCCTTTATTCTCTCTGACCACTCTCCTCATTTTCTTTCAAATTACCAAAAACAACTCCAACACTTATCCTACTACCTTCAGGTTCCAAAATATGTGGACTAATCATAAAGACTTCTTTACCATGGTAAAAACTTCCCGGTCAGATCCCTGCACTAGTTAGGGAATGTTTCTTTTCACACAAAAACTAAAAAGACTTGAGAAGGCTCTAAAAGTTTGGAATCACTCTCATTTTGGTAACATTTTTCAAAACCTCAAAACAACTGAGGATAATCTCTTCATTAAGGAAATTCAGCTTCTTGATAATGATAATCTAGAAAACCTTACTGCTTTAAAAATGTCTCATGCTGAATTTGTTCTCAAACAGAATGATATCACCAATTTTTACAAACAGAAAGCCACAATTAACTGGATTAAAGATGGTGATTCTAATTCTGTTTTTTTTTCATAATTATGTGAAGGCTAACCATTATTCTAAACTTCATATTCACAAAATCAAACACTTTTGGTAATTGAGTAGAGGATAATGATGACATTGGTAAGCTGGCTGTTGACTTCTTCCACTCTCTTTTAAGCCACGATGAGACCCCTCATGTCTCTTATTTTGACACTATCCCGCAGTTTCTTCCTAACTGCACTACTAACGATGATAATATTTCTCTTCTTGCCCCTTTAACCATGAGTGAGCTTAAAACTGCGGTCTTTGATCTCAGTAAAAACAGTGCCTCAGGTCTGGATGGTTTTAATGGTTAGTATCACCAGGTTTGTTTTGTGATCATAAAGGATGATCTCCTGAATGCTGTGAGGGAGCTCTTTTGTGGGGTTCCCCTCCCTAAAAGCATTGGTCATACTTTTATTACTTTTTTTCTTAAGGATTACCAGCATACCTGCTTTCAAAAATTCAGACCCATTAGTTTGAGTAAATTCATCAATAAATCCTTACCATTATTCTTACTACTCGTGTTACTCCTCTTTTGGGCAAATTTATTTCTAAAGAACAAAGTGCTTTTCAAAAAGGAAAAGAAATTTCGGATACCATTTTAGCTATGAAAGAATTTACTAACTGTCTTCCTAAAAAGTCATGGGTCAGTATGCCTTTTTCAAAATTGATATGATGAAAGCTTTTGAGCGGATCTCCTGACCTTTTGTAAAATCTGTTCTTCTCAATCTAGGCTTTCATTCCTTCTTTATAAATTTGATTTTCAATAATCTCAATAGCACCTGGTTCTCTGTTTTAATCAATGGTTCAACCCCCCCTATGATTTTTTCCAACCTTCTCGCGGTTTTAAGCAAGAAGGTCCCCTTTCCCCTATTTTACCTATTATTGTTGCTGAGGTCCTGTCCAGGAATCTCAACCATCTTTATACTATGGGTGGAGGTAAACTTTATTATTCTTATGTGGGCCTCCTTATCTTATGTTGATGACCTGATTGTTTTCTCTAATGGCAATAAGCACACTTAAGGAAATTGTTCAATCCATTGGCTATTTATGAAATGCGTGCTGGTCAAAAAATCAATTTTGACAAAATTGCTTTTTATTTGGGACCCAAAACTCCTCCAGTTACTATGAACATGATTCGTCACATTTGAAAAATGAAAAGTGGTTCTTTCCCCTTCATGTATGTGGGAGTTAACGTTTTTCTTGGAGAAATAAAAAATTTTACTTCTCATTACATTAATCGTATTGATAAAAAACTAAATAGCTGGAAGCACAAATGCCTTCCCCAAGCTGGTAAAATCATTTTAATTAAAAATGTTCTCACCACCATCCCCTTTTTTTCTATGGCCTCTAGAGTTCCTAAAACCATATATACGACTATTGAGCAACGTTATAATAAATTCTATTGGAGTAAGGACCAGAACTCCCTGAGCAAGTTTAGTTGGAGGTCATGGAAAAACTGTTCTTTCCACTATAACAAAAATGGTTTGGGTTTTCACAGGTTACAGTATATCCATAAATGATTCTACTTCAAACTATGGTGGATCCGTGGAAAAAAGACAAAAATCAAAGCATATGGGTTGTTATTTTTAATTCTTTTCGTTCCCTTTCCAGCTCTGTTTTCTGAAAGTCGATGTACTCTGTTAGGGACATTTATATTGCAAAAACTACCTTTTTTTTTCATAAAGGGAGCATGTCCTTGTGAGACTCTAACTGGAGCCCCTTTGGACCTTTGCACACCTAATACCCGGATGCCATTGACCTAACCATTATCATAAGGGAGGCCTACAATGATATAAACAGACATGTGGAGTCCCTCAGCTCCCCCATGACATGAGACTGTCCTTGACTAGCCTGTCCCCTATATTTGATGATGGATCGGATGCTACCATCTGGAAGAAAAACTCTATCAGGGGTTTTACGTTTCACACGACCTATGATGAGATTAGGGATAAGAGGTGCAAAGATAACAGTTTCACCCACATATGGAAAAAACCGATCCCAAAATAAGTTTCCTTTTTCCTTTGGCGCCTTTTAAATAACTTGGTGGATACTGTTGTATCTCTCACCAATATGGGTTTTACTGGTCCTTTCAAATGTCGTCATTGCAGTCACTGGGATTACTTGGATCATTACTTCCTCTGTTGCCCCTCTCATACATTCATTTGGGAACATTTTGAAATTCCTAATCACCGGTTGAATGACAATTTGAAGGACAATATTCTACGATGGACCTAACATAAACATTTCCTTTGTTATGCCACTATTCTTCGGAACCTTTGGAAAATGAGAAACACTACTCTCTGTGAGGATATCACCCCTAATAACTCTGAGGCCATATACTACACACATAGGGATCATAGTAATTTTAATGTCCCTATCACCGTGGAAAAATCCCGTAAGAGTAATCCTTCCAATGTTACCTGGAGATCTCCTACGATTAATCACTTCACGTTAAATATCGCCCACTCCCCTAATGGTCATACCCACAACTTTGGTTTCATCATTCGTAACCACAAAGGGGAGAAAATCACACACCATTTTCAAAGTCTTTTCAACCATTCTTGGCATAATGCATTCCATTGACGCTCTTCTTTCCTTTCTTAATATATGCAGGCACAATGGGAAGCGTATATAGTACCACCGGTTGTACGGTGCTCACCATACAGCCGGTGGCATTTTTGTAATTTATATAAAATTCGCGTCTCGTACTAAATGAGTATTAAACCACGCCTAGTGAGCAAGTGACATATTTTGTTGAGCATTAGAAGCATAATATTGAGCATCGTGATCTCTGCTTCATCTCTTCGAATTTACTTTCTTTTCCTTATTAAATTATATCTATGATCAACTCTTATGAACTCCAGTATGCGAATTTAATGCAATATGATACTTTTGAAATATACGTTGTTATGTCATATTACAAATGAGCATAACATGAATACCCGTTGAGCATACATAACTTATAAAATGAGAATTGATATGAAAATTATAAGTACTTTTAATTGAATATCAAGACATTTTTATTGAGCATCAACATGAAAAGTATCATCAATGATTTTCATTATGCGATTGTGATGAGCATCGAGTCTGTTCTTTTTAAATGAGCATAAAATAACACCAAATGAACATATGTGACTTACAAAATGAGTATGAAAAAATTTAAAAGTCCATTTGTGTATGCTCATTCATTTTGGCCTTATACTCATTTGAGTTTAACATTAGTATGGTACGTTTGAAATGAGTATAAAGAGGTACCAAATCAGCATACATAACTCACAAAATGAGTATACATAAATTACGAAAAGAGCTGAGCAAAAAAAAAAAACTCATTTAAAATGTGTGCTATGCTCAAAATTTCTTTTGTGTATGCCCGTATCTGTACAAATACGTATAATTTAGGTTTCTTCTAAGTTGCAACCAAACAACTTACCAAACTCATCAAAACTGAAAACGAAAAAAGGAAAAAAGTTCAAAAAAAGAATAAGCCCAACTAGCCCTATACATCTCATATGCCAGAGCCGCCATCTACCCAAGTTGGAAGGTGCTGCGTCAAGGGATTGCGTTGAGGGAGGTTGGCTAGTTATTTGTGAACCACGGCGAGCAAAGAACTTCTGGGTGAAGAGTCGATCGAGTGTGAGACTGAGCGAAGTGCGAACAATCGAAGGTAGTGCTGGATCTGCGAACTAAAAGGCCGGTTGTACCGTGCGCACGGTACAGCCGGCTGTACGGTGCATGTATTTTACCGGCACAATGGGCAACGTTTGAACGTCATTGAGATCTCGAATCGCCAAGTGCTACAGTCTATTAACCTTCACCGTGTCTATCAATGGGAGTCCATCTTTGTTATATCTTGCAGGAAGATTCTTCATCAAAACCATATTCTCATGACACATGTTCCGGATCTTGCTAACAAACAGCAAATGCCATTAGTTTAGCCATTGACGTTGAATCTTCACACTTCAAAAATATTCTCAAATTTGATGCAATTGCTTTTTCTTATATCATATAATAATGTTATTATCTTATTTCCTTTCTCCGTAGGTTTTGGCTTCATGTCCCCTACATTATATTTTCTTTTATGCTTTAAATAAGTAGGTATGGTGTTTTCCAGCCCTAATCCCATCTTAAGATAGTTTTCCACTAGGGTCGAAAAAAAGAATCTTAATATAAAATTGAATCCACATGGAAGAAAAAAAGTTAAACACCTACGCTCATGTCTCGAGTACCGATTACCGAACATGAAAAAGCTACGACTTATTCCTCAACTATTATGTACGGAGTATATAAAAATTAAAGCTTTAAATTATAAGCAGCATGGTTCATTTTAATGGGCATGCGTCGAATAAACGCTCCCCTACGTATCATTATCATGACTTTAATTTGATTCCCGAAAAATGAAATAGAGTAGTTTCAAGGTGTCAAAGCACAAAAGGCTAATGTATCTTTTGATAGAATCTTTATATTTAAGCATCAAATGTTATTCCCTGAATAATATTAATTATTGTGCATTGACTTTCTATTTAGAAAAAAGATGTACCCACAATATTGAATATTACTTGAGCTGAGCATCTTGAATGAATTGATGCACACTAGCTAGTTGCCACCTTTTTAATCATGATACAATATATAATGTCATCCATCTTTTCTTTTCTTAGTGGAACTCCAAAGTGGAAAGGCTCACAGACAACCCTTTTTAATCATATCATCAACGATAAATATGCTTCGATCAATTCATTATTCATCCACCGTTGTGTACCTTAATTGGAGAGAAACTCAATTCTTTAATTTGTTACAAGAATTGAACATGCAATGACACGTATGCCTCTTTTTAGTGTTAAATTTTAAAAGAAATACGCTCACACCGTGACCAATGGGCTTCAAGCAACATAATATATACTCGTTGCAACTGTCAGACTTTCACGTTTGCCAACACACAACGTTGACTGTAATTATATTTAATTCCGTATTGGTAAACATTATAAGAAGTTAATATTTTAGAAATTCACATTAATAGAAATAAAATAACATTTTATACATAATAATTTGATTATATATACAACAAAAACAAAATCCAAGTCTTAATCCCAAAAGATTTTGATTATACTAGTATATGTTAGTAGAAAATTGTGATAAAAATAATGTGTGTGAATAGTACAAAAGTCACAATGTTGCATCTATTAAAGAACGAATGAAGTATATATATCAAGTGGTCTTGAGGCAGGAGGGGGCCTCAGGCCCTCAGACCACCAAAGGTGGTCCCGACGTGGAGATAGGAAGGGGTGGGAGGGGGCATCGGCCCCCAAGATTTCCCAAGAAACAAATTCCAATTTATAGCGTATTACGTATAAATATTTCTAGCTAATTTATAAAAAACAAGTTGATATTTTATGCTTTGGCTCTCGTAAAATTCTCAATACCCAATCCCAAACAATAGATTTCTGACTCCAGGCGGCAGGCGAATGAGTAGAAGAGGTGTAGCTCGCTCATGCGGAGTTATAACAAGACCTAGCCAGGTACCTATTAGTTATGAAACAATAAATTGCATTGTACTCTATAACTAATTTATAGCCAAAATGTCATAGAATTAAAACGTGTATAATTTATTCCCATTTTAGGACCGATATGAGTTTTACATGCATTATAGGAGCATACCACCTAAGGCTAAGGATGGGAGCATACCAACTATAAATAGCACTGAGTAATATTTACAATATTAGCAAGATATGCTTGAACGTTTGGACAATGACACAAATAGAGAGCTGACTAGAGAATGGTTTAGATAATGGTTAAAGAATTTAAGGAAAGATTTAATTAAGACAAATTTACTACTACAGTATACGAAGTAAAAGTATATATAGATTTAGTGTTAGGTTGATCTCATTCAATTCATACTCATCATCATCATATCATCACCATATAGCTTGACTTTTGTAAGCGTCAAAATCAGTTAAATAAATCAAAAGTCAAAACCGCCTGCCACCAAGGGAATTAGGGGACGGCCAGTAATCTGCGGCAGCTCCGCCATTAATGTCGCCGCCGATGTTGCCGCAGCTTCCCACGCTTACAAGTTGAGTGCATTCCAATGGAACCAAGCACAACCCTTTGCTCCTTAAATCCTTTCCTCCCTTTTCTACGGATTCCTACCATTAGTTATCACCACACTATCAACTCTATATTAACCCATTGATCATAGAATTGAATATTAATCTTCTTCTGATCTCGATAGTAAAATATTAATTAAACAAATAATCCATGTAAAGTCACTAGCTTATACCATAAGGGTATAAGTGAAAAGTAAACACAAGATATTATTATTCGACCTAAAAATTAAATCTGTAAAGTCAAAGTGCGAATTGAAATAGGGGATGAAGTGATCGAATAGTTTGGAAAAAAGTAATGCATAATACTCGTATTTGAATAAGTGTGACATATTTTACACATAGATGTAAGCTTCTCTTTCTCATACTCGTAACATTTTTGACATTTAATGTTATAATTAGCGAGCTTAGTCCTCAATCTTATTGACTAAACTAGACTGATTGTCATTTATGAAATGAAGAACGTTATCATTAGATATCTTCAACTTCAAGTGTTCAACCAACATTGTTGGTACTCCGTACGGAGTAGTATTTTGGGTGAATTTGATTTCGCATTCCTCGTTTTGGAAGATGTTTGACTATGCACTACATTTTCAAAACCATTAATGTGTGTACTCTATTTTTTTAAGTATAAAATTATTTGACTTTACACTTCAATCCTTCACAATTTTTGGACTGATGAAGTGCATATACTAATGATTTTAAAAATGGGGTACAAAGCAATCACATAAAAATAAAGCTTACAGATTGTTGGTGAACGTGACCCATGCTCCCTGATGCATTGCCCAAGTATGGGGTGCTTAATGCCTGCATAAACTTCTGGCTTCAGATTTAAGGTGTGGTTTGCTTTAGTTAAAGAGAAAGATATATAGTTTTCTTGATTTATGTTTTTGAAGTGAGACCTTTTTATACAGATTCTTTATCACAAAGAATTTCAACTACTCTTGTACCTAAATTATCTTTCAAAATCCATTTGACACGGGATTAAGATAATGATATTATAATCAGGGGCGGAGCCAGGGCACTGGGCCAGACTGGGCCGGTACAAAGAATATTTTTAGAAAAAATTTTACAAGAAATTTTTTACCCAAAAAATTAAACCATTTTTAAAATTTGGGGTGGGCCATGGCCTAGGTTGGCCCACCCCTAGCTCCGCCCATGATTATAATGTGTGTTGAAAAGAGAGAAATGTGTAAAAATGCATAAGAATTGTTTGAACCACAAATTTTTTGCCAAAAAGGAAACGAAAAAGTTATTTGGCACAAATGAAAAAGAAAATTTGAAAAATAATTCATGAACGAAAGAAATATTTTTAAGTAGAAAACAGACCCTCGCCCTAAATATTTCATCCGATGATCTTAGTAGTATGTTTCATTGAACTCGAAATAACTTTCTTGTTTCCTTCTTCAGCTATCTCAAAAGTAATCTTTCTTATTTTCTTTCAAGAAAAAACTGTGATTACATTTTAATTAAGACTTAATTAGAGTTACCTTCTAAAATGTTGAATAAGAGAAGCAGTCATAGAGACCTCACATATTTTTAGAACTCCGTAATTTATATTTTATCAATGTATGAAAATACTTTAACAGTTTAACATTGTTTTGTTTCACTCTTCTCTATTTTTTTTGGAAAGTCTTCTCTATTATTTTCTATTATGTGCTAAACTAAACATAAAAAATATACCTCGAGGGAGTATTAATTAATAAGAGGGGTTTTAAAATTCACCAGTTTTAAGTTTTAACTACTCCCTCAATCTCATTTCACTTTTCATACTTTCCTTTTTAGGTTGCCCTAAAATAAGAGTTACATTTTTCTTTTTAGAAAGAAATATGTGATTTACGATATTTCAATTTTTTATACGTAAATTTCAATCACAAATTTTACTTTTTTAATCACTCATTTAATAATTGTGTCAAACCAAAGTAGAATAGGAGAAAGATACTACGTAATACTCCCTCTGTCCCTAAAAGAAGTTCCATTTCGCTTATCGAGGGTCAACTTAAATCACTCTTAAACTCTTACCCAGTACTTTTTATATCAAAATTTTATAAAAGTTGAATTATTTTTTGCAAGCTTTGTAGCGGGTATAATGTAGTTTCTGAATATGTAAATTTTATTTACTAAAAATAATCCGAATTTTCACAGGAATCATTTAACTTTATTGTCGGTCAACCTTCGTAATCCGCAATTGGAACAACATTTAGGGACGGAGGGAGGGAGTACTACGGTAGTAATAAAACTAACAAAGTTACTAATAGAGAGGGACCTGAATTTGAGACTGCAGGAATGTGATATACCCTATGGCTTCTGACAAGACGGAGGCTGTGTCAGTCTGTAAAAGAGAAAACATCAACACATTACAATTTATACCTCAAATTCATCCCAATTTTGCAAGGTAATTAATGTTACACAAATGTTCTTGTAATGTAGCAACATTATACGTAGAGCCTGTTTGGAGACCTCTTTTTTCGGCTTATCAGGCTTATCAGCCAGCTTTTTCACCAAACACGTAACTTTTACTTTTGTGTGCTGAATTGTGTAATAAGCAGAAAAAGTAAGGTTGTAATTACTTTTCTGGCTGTATTGGCTGAAGTTACTGTAGAGGACTATTTTAGCTATTTTTACATGTAATTTTTTCTATAATTTATTAATAAAATATATTTTTAAAATATTTTTTTCTTGAATCAGCAGAATCAGCCAAAACAGCCAATTCAGCCAGAATTTCATAAATTTCAGCAGAATCAGCCAAAACAGTCGATTTTCGTGCTACCAAACGAACTCGTAGTATAATACAGTACATTAATTACCTTCATACGATTTCACTCTTTCAAATAATGGGACTAACCCCGGTCCATGTTTTTGAATTTGCACACTTGTTTGTGGTGGAATGCTTAAGTCATTTCTACCAAGTCCTTTTTAATGAAAAGAAATATTGTTTCACAATTTAATGATAAACCATATTTACCTGAATACTTGGGCAATGTCCCAACAAGACACAAGTATATAACCCTGATATTTGGTTAATTCTAATAAAATAATAAATACTTGATTTTTTTTCCCTCAAAAGTGAGTTAATCTGATATAAACAAACAATGGCATACTTCTCATCTAATGTGTTTGGTCCCATTTACAGATCGATTTACTTTTGATTGTTTCTGATTCCTTTTGTGGACCAGACAGCCATTGATGGGTTTATGTCTTTGTATATTTGTGTTATCAAAGTTAATAAAGCAAAAGGAATTTTGAAGTCTACGGGAGTGCGTAACCACCACTCTTTTATAAAGTAAAGTTATTTTAACCACAAAAATTAGAATACATGCGTGCATGGCCGAAACATCAAGAGTCCGTTTGATAGCACGAAAATCGGCTGTTTTAGTTGATTCTGCTGAAATTTATGAAGTTCTGACTGGAGTAGTTGCATTGGCTGATTCTGCTGATTTAAGAAAAAATTATTTTTAAAATATATTTTATTAATAAAATAAAGAAAAAATTATATGTAAGCATAGCTAAAATGGTCTACTATAGTGACTTCAGCCAATACAGCCAGAAAAGTAACTTCAACCTTACTTTTTCTGCTTTTTACACAATTCAGCGCGCGAAAGCAAAACTTACGTGTTTGGTAAAAAAGTTGGCTGATAAGCCTGATTAGCCGAAAAACAATGCTGCCAAACGGCCTCTAAGTTATTTAATTTATACGGAGAATCTAAGTTAACAATTTTACTCGTATTATTAGTTGCCTGAAAAATTCACTTGGTTTTTACCAATTTTATTGCTTAAGTTCAATTCTTAGCTTCCATTATATACTACTAGTAGTATATTTTACTTCCCTAGCTAATTATTTTGTGCCCTCTTTTTAGAATATGTTTAGACTTAGTAATAATAGTTTGAATATCTCAAATTTTGAGCTGCGTGATAGCTCAAGTAGTATGTTTGTAGAATATTTGTAGTAATAGTAATAATACGTTTACATATACTTGCCTTTCCAAATGGGGAAACAAGTTGGTGAAGAGCTGTGACTCTATCCCCTAGCTTCTCTTTCCTGACCTGCTTGCTTCAAATATATAATAATAATTCCCTAATTAATAAAATACGATAATTTAGCTACTAATCATCATATAATAAATCTATAATCTGATCGATTTTAAAGGCAGATCAGATATGTGTGAAAATACCTACGATATAAGTTTAAGAAAAAATACAATCACCTTTAAAGATGGCTGCTGGCTTGAAGCTTGATTATGGCTGACCCTAGGTCTCTTAGATGCTCCTCCAGTACTAGTGCTAGTGCTAGTGCTGTTACACTGTAAACATCATAATTGTTTCTTGTTATTTACTTCTCAGGATAATCTTTTTTTTTCTGGTAAATTATACTCCGTATTGAAACCGGAGTTCCATTTTTATCACGTATTATAAGCTTAATTATTATAAGCATTCAAAGAGGATCATTTTTAAACAAGCAAAAATTTAAATAGCAACGTGGAGATGACAAATTCGTTATTGATATAACAAACTATATACTATGTATGTTTTTGAAATGCATTGAACTACATTTTTAATATCTTGTGATTTCATTATTACTCCTATAATTTAGGATATGCGCCAATTACATAAAAGTGTAGTTTTTTTAATATCTCTAAATCCATTATAGCATTTGTGACCACTGCCCATTATTCATGGCATTCACACGTTTTACATTATCAAAATCATGAGAACCAAAATTAATATTTTATAAGTATTAAAAGTTCTTGGATAAAGGAGATAGAAAACAATACTCTAATATAAAAACTAAAGTTCTAATACAAATTTTGCACTGAAGCATCTTGGATAATGTAAAGTTTATTTTTAAGTTTTTCATTTTTTAAAAATTTTATTATTCAAATTTTGGGTATTTTTTATAGATTTTTTTGATACGTGTATCCGTCAGGATACGAGTATCTGGAATTTTAAAATAATTACTAAAAAAGTTGGAAACTTTTAAAAATTGCATATACGGCCCGGGAACGTACGGTACATTTATTCTAGAGTATCTGATACGGGAACGTTTCCGATACGCTGATATGATACCCTAGTGAAGTATCCATGCTTCATAGCTTGCTTGATATGTCTCCAAGTAATTGAATCATTATTCCCGCATCAATTGTAGTACTTTTTCTCTTTGATGCCAAAACCCAAATAAAATTCAATTTCTCCAAGTCTGATCTACATATTATTATATTCTTAGTACTCGTATTTTTTTAAATCTCACACTGCGTATACCACAGGTAGGGCAGCAACTACAGTGCAGTATAAGGTACCATGTACTACATGTGTGTCCTATGTGTTTATTATTTGGTTAAAACAAATTGAAGATATGGCCGGATTGTCTTTGGTCTTCTGCTAGTTAGGTACTTGTAAATTTGTAATTACGTGCATGCCCACCTAAATAGATTTGTGAATAAGACCATTTGTAGTGGTCAAGAGTCCAAATAGTTAAATTTGGACTCCGTCAATTTGAAAACAGTGTTTAGACTCCGTCAATACTGTTTTTCCCTGCATCCGTGCACCGTCAATAAAATACACTCTGCATATTTTTTACATATGAATTTAGTAAAATATTAATTAAATTATTATAAGTAATGTTTTACTTTTAATTTTTTTTCCCTGAATAATTATGAAATAAAAAATACACATTTTGATGTAAAAATAATTAATTTTCATAATTTTTTTAACATTTTTTGTTAAAAAAATGAATTTGTTTAAGTGAAGTTTGATTATAGAATATTCAAATATTTGTGAAGGTTTCATGAATTAAGAATTCATGTTTCATTTTTTTAGCTCAATAAACTGTAACAGTTAAAATTTCAAAATAAAATCATTTTATATATCACATATGGATGTCATATGAAAGATCATAAAAATTTATGAATTTTGATATATTTTTTGAAAAAATTAAATGACAAATACTACCTCCGTCCCCCTATGTTTGGGACAAAGAGGTGTGGTTGGATTTTTAAGAAAAAGTAGATATGTGTGGTTGATATTAAATTGATAAAGTGTGAATAGTGTAAGAATAAATTGTAGCCACCCAAACATTACCAAATATGGTATGAGACAAACTTAATGGGACGGACGAAAAAGGTAAAACGGGACAAACTTAGGGAGACGGAGGAGTAAAAAAGTTATATAAGTTTTAAAAAAATTGGGATATAATGATGCAAGGGTGACGCCAACATGACATCATCCTCACCAAAAGAAAACATGTGGCCGTGCCTTACTTTTCCCTTTTTCTTTATTTTTTCTTTTTCCACTCCTCTAAACTCACCCTCTATATTTAACACCCTCCATCCCCTTTCCCACTTTTAATACCCCATATAAACCACCACTACACACAATTAGGAGTCCAAAAGTTCCACATTTAACATTTTGGATTCCTAATACCTCACCACTACAAATGGTCTAAACATGTGTAATGACATCAAACTCTCGCACAACTTTGTCAGTATATTCTGTAGAGTTTTTGTGAATTCTCATTTTTCAAATATATACTCGCAATGGACACATGACATTATGATTAAATTCTAAAGAAGTTGCAAAAAGTAGAACTTTTTTTACCAAGCTAAAAAGTAAGACTAACTGTATTTTATTCCAAAAATATGAGTTATTAAGTTCTAATAGAAAGCCAAATAATTTGCGTTCGATGACATCATTTTGACACTTCCAAGGAGGAGGTTCCTAGATCCAAACTGATCATCGGATTCAAGGAAGTTAACATTTAACTACAATATATTCTATAATATAATTGAATGCACACTAAAAATGTTCTAATAATAGAATAAAACAAAAAAACATTTAGGAATCAATGAATCCCATTTTGAGAAACCCCTGACGATCATATTTTAGAAAATGTGCTATGCAACAACTATTTTTGTTCATCAACAGTTCAGTTTGAATATTTCATTCACATGCATGTATTAATTTTTTATTATTTTGTCTCGGATTTCAGTTTACAAGTACAAACACTATTTTGATTTCAATGAGGATTTTAGATTATTTTCAAATGTTTTAAATTTTGAGTTTTTAGTTCTTTAGTAAACTCGTGAATCGTGATGATTTCAGACTCCGCTAAATATATGGAATTTAATAAAAATGAGTGGTTACGTACATGCCAAATGTTTGAATTATGGGATTAAAATGAAATACGTAGTATTAAATAATAACTAGGTGTAATCTAGACAAAATCTTAATTAGATGATAAGACTAAAAATAACATATAACTACAATTTTGCAAATACATCCTCCGATCACATCAATTATGTTGTTAAATTGGATAAAGGATATATATAGTTAATACCAAGATACATTAATTAATTAGAGGTATACATGATTGAGAAGGAAGAATAAATAATACTTGTACTATGTTGCAGATCAGGATCGGATTATATTTGTAGAACAGAGCAAGAAAGAATATTGGACAATCGCTTGATTGATGTATCACAAGTAGTAGAAATTAAAATAATAGTTAATCCGATCTTTTAATTTCCTTCTAAAGAACACCAACACTTATATATATATATATATATATATATATATATATATATATATATATATATATATATATATATATATATATATATATATATATATATAGATTATTATTAATATTATGACATTATAGCAAAATAAATAATGTAAAGGGAGTGAAAATAAACACAAAATAATATTAACATGGTATCAGAGCCAATTTCGGTTGTGTTTTGACTGCTTGTTAGCACCCATGATTACGGATAGCTTGTTAAGGGTCTGTTTGGCCCATTTATACACCCCATATTGTCTAGCCCGGTTCGGGCCGATGAGCGTGTTAAAGTATTTGTTCCATACCGGAAAGCTAACACAATTAAACACTATATAAGGCTTTGGACACTCTTATCAAGTTGACCTTTTAGGATGGAACCCAAAGTCTTAATATTATTCAATATTTAAATTGTAGGATTAATTACCTCGTATGAATGCTGTGAAGCATCTGGTCTGTTTTCCTCTTGCAGAGACTTACTATAAGTGCTTCTTTGGTGCTGATTCCTAGAAGAAGCTACAGAAGCAGTAGATGTTTGGAAATATCGGCGGTGGTGATCTTCTAGTACAAGAGGAATGGGATCCTGGCCGTACATCTGTGCAATCCTATCAAACTCATCATCTTCCTTAATTACATTATCAACAGAAGCAGCAGCAGATGATGATGGATTATGGTTATTATTCAAACCAATTTCATCATCCCAATTCTCCTCAGCCTTCTTGTACTGAAAATGACTCATACCAAACTTTTCATTTTCATTGCCACCCAATCCACACCTTAATTATGCATAAAACAAAAAAAAACATCAAATTCATTATTTCAATCCATATTCCCAATTTTCCATCCTTAATTAAACAATAAGCTAACAAATTCAACAGTCTTTTCCTCATACTACTTCCATTCCAAAGTCTCTTCTATCTGATCTCTCAATGTCCCAAAGAGCACATTTGCGAAGAAAAGACAGAAACAATACAAATTACAATAATTAAAAAGCTGGCAATACATAATGGAAAAGAACGGGTGGTAAAATGCATAAATGGTGACTTAGTTATTGATATTGTTGTGTCTGGTACCTTAACATCTAAATGAATTAAATCGGTATCATAACTATACATATATGTATCAATTGACAATATAATTCGAATTCCCGGCCAAAAAAGCATACGTGGCGGCGGCCGTATTCTGTGCGTAAAGTTCACTTCACCTTCCTTTTGTTCATGTCATCACTCTAGGGTGGACTCTCCACATGGAATTTTGATCACTATGTAGAACTTTTTAATGCAAATTTGAATAATATTGTCAATTGAAAACACGAATGTCAACCTTAAAATCAAGCAAATGTCCAACTGAATTGAAGCTCAAAGTCCAAAAAGAACAACATAATAAAAACATGATTATTAAAACTAAAGTGCTAATTTTTAAAGCCTCATGAAGTATGATCAGCTATGGAAGTCTATCTTTTTTATGGTGGATGCATTGAAGTTTGAACACTTTCATTTTACAGATTTAACTATGAGAAAACTAAAAGTTAGAGAGAGAGAGATACATGAGGAGTTGGCTGAGTGGGCGTGGAAAATCTTGGCTTTGGGCTTCACCCACAGAATTGAAAGATCCATAGAAATGTTGATGCTGTTCATGAGACGGCGGCGAGGAGGACTGTAAGAACTGATAAGAAGAAGGCGCCGCCGGCTGCGGTGGCGGTTCCATATTATTGCTTGCGTTGACCACCACGCTCCACCAGTTATTAGGGTTTCCTCCGGCCATCATTTGCCACTGAAATTGCTTCCCAATTAACAACCCACTAAAGACTACAACCTCCAAATCCACCACTGCATCATATCATATATAGATATCATATTTCTTTAGTAAGTTATGAATGATCAAGAACCTTTCTTTTTTCTTTCTTTTTTGAAAATCAAAAGAGATATACTTTGGCATGGTATGGGAGCAAAAAAACAAACAAAAAACAAAACCCTTTTGCTTCTCTTTTAAGCTTTTTTGCTCTTTCAGCTACAAACCACTTGGTTTACATCTTTTCCCTGAATTGCACACTCAAACGAGGCTTTTCTGAAGCTTTCATGGGTTGACAGTGTTTGCTTTTCACAGGATCAATAGTGTATTTATGTCCCTCTCAACCATGTAGTGGTAGTATTTCTTACTTGCGGGGCTCATCATTTATATAAACCTTTTTTATTTTTTGTGGGTTTATAATCTTCCCCCCTTGCTTTAGCTTTATTCTAAGGTGGGGACTCCTTGTCTGATCACTCCATATTTGTTTTTATGTTTATGTATATAAAGTGTGGTTCCAATGAGTCCGATCTTTAACGTGGGAATATGAAAACGTCCACATATAATCAAACGTTATGCACAATAGAAATCAGGAAATATTCTGATGCACTTTTTAACTTTGCGGTGACATTTTGATAAATATAATGTTTAACGGGAAAAAGTGCATCAGGTGAGCCTCATTGTGTATCACACTGGGGTAAATGTGGTGTTCTCACGTAAAGCATTGTTCACATTTGATTTTGAATATTAAGCACTGATTGCAATAAATGAAAGGTTATGATTAAAATTTCTCATTTTAAGACGGGTTCTCACTATATGTGTATGCCACATTAGAATAAATATATGTATTCGTACTCACTATAAGGTCTCTTATTGCGGGTTTCTCAAAATATTACTAATAAAAAAGTCATGGACAAAAAAGTGACTTAGTAATTTTTAGTGACTATAATTATGTTCAAAGATTACATCATGGTCACTACTTTATAGTAATTTTGAATATAATTAAAATAACTAAAAGATGCTAATTCATATTTCAGTACATGTTTGGGTATATGGCCAACATGGGGCAGAGCCACATACCCCCATCGGCCCAACAACTTGATAAGGGAACCCAAATTTGGGTGGCATGGGCCGGGCGGGAAAGGCTCTTTGAAGAATCGCCGGATTGCTATCGATGGACACCTAGCTTAATCCTCTAGAAGAATTGGCGGGAAGTGCATTTCATGCACCATATATGAAAGATTTTATAGTTGAGGGTTAACCACCCAGGACCCGCTACATCACCACCACCACCACCATCATTTACCACCTTGTAGGATAAACACTTGTTTTTATTTTATTATATTGTAAATGGTTGACAACTTGCATTCAATAGCTTAGTTTCTCTCTCTGGTTTTTATGTATTCCTTCGGAGTAGAAGAGAGGCCATGGCTCAGGCTCAGTAAGGATGCGCTGCAATTCTTCTAAATCCATCTATAGAACTTGGTCCAACCTCCTACTCTTCTTGCTATTGCTTTTCCCTCCTTAATTGCTTAATCCATCCATGAAAAGATATATAACCCATTAAAGATCCAACGAAAGCTCAAAGGAACATATTGGGTTATGAGCGCATTTGGTAACACTAAATTGGCCGAATAGGCTGTAATTTATATATGAAGTGAAGTTCTAGCCCAAGTGGTTCGATTTACTGATTCTGCTTATTTTTTAAAAATATATATTCAAAACATATATTTTATTTATAAAATGAAGAAAAAAATATATGAAAAATAGGTAAAATGGTCCGCTATAGTAACTTTAGACAATTCAGTTTGAAAAATAACTTCAGCCTTACTTATTTTGGTTATTACACAATTGAATGAGTGAAATTAAAAGTTACATATTTTGTGAAAAATTAGCTGATAAGACTGCTATGTTGAAAAATAAAGTCAGCAAACAGACTCTGTGGCTCAAGAAAGGTTTAATGAATTAGCATTTGTATGCATTAAACATGAGATTTGGGAAAAGATTGACCTTAAAGCAAATATTGATTACTTTTTTTTACCATTAATGTTTTGTGAGAAACGTTTTAAATAATATTTTTATGATATTTGTGTTGTTACTTTGTACCAAATATGTAATTTTAAATAATAATATAGTGAGTTTCAACTTTATTTTGTGACCTTTATTACACAATTTTATTATTATACTCCGTAATTATTAATTTAAATAAGTACCCCTTCATTCCCATATAATTGTACCTTTTTTTTCATTTTTGAATGTGTCTATTATTGTCGCATACCATATCTGGTAATATTTGTGTGATGCTAATTCATTCTTACTTTATTCCTATTTTATCAACTCATTATCAACTACACAATTCTATTCTTCTTAAAAACCACATCCCTATGATCTCTCCCGTCCCAATATTAGTGGGACGAAGGTAGTATAATTTTCTGTTTTCTTGAATATAGGCCCATAATAGTATGTCTTGGATTCACGCTCAGAGGCCCAAAAATAGGTTAGACCACTCGTGGCCTGTGGGTGTTAGTCTTAGAGCCCGTTTGGTGACTCTGTTTTTTTGGATTATAACTTTTTAACCAAACACATAACATTTGATTTCGCGCGCTCAATTATGTAATAATCCGTAATAAGAAACAGTAAGGATGGAGTTACTTTCCTGGCTATAATGGTTGAAGTTAGTGTAGATGACCATTTTAACTATTTTTCATATAATTTTTTCTTTATTTTAATAATAAAATATAATAGGTATTTTAAATAATATTTTTTATAAATTCACAGAATCAACTAATACGGCCACTTCAGTCAGAACTTCAGGAATTTCAGCAGAATCAGTTGATTCAGCCGATTCCAGTGTTACTAAACGGGCTCTTAGTTGTTAAAAGTTCAATTTCAAATAAACTTAATTATGACATTATTATTAGGTACATAAGGCGGTAAGGGTGTATTGCACCCTTAAGTATGTATTCATTTAATAATAATTAGTTAATTATTACTCAATCATTTTATTATTAATTGTCACTACAAAAAAATCACAGGATTGACACGGACTTGTCACGGATTTACCAGTGATTTCATGCCAAATAGCTCGTATCAAACTGTTTATGACACGAATTTGGCATATCCCTATCAAAATCCCTGCCTATTTTGAGAAATCTCTATTAGTCCCGTATTTTTTTGTAGTGTGTCCTTTTCATATTATTAATTGGAGATATCTTATGTGCGGATTGGTTGATTAGTTCTTCAAGAATTTCAATTCTTTCAAAGAACTATGAAGTACTACCTCCGTCCCGCAATTAACTTCCTACTTTGACATACACACATATTTAGGAAATAAATTTGACTTTACTGTGGAGTGCACTGTTCAAACATTGTTTGACACTGTTTGACACTGTTTTGATGTAGGCGATTTGCCAAATAAGGAAAGTTTTGAAGTGTGAAGTTAATTTTGGGACTGCCTAAAAAGGAAAGTGAGAAGTAGTTTATGGGAGGGAGAGAGCGTTAGAAATGTTGGTGCTGGCTGAAGAAGAAACCGGAGCTGAGGGAGAGAAGAAAAAGAAAAGAAAACGTAAAAAAGTAAAAAAGTGTCGCATGATTTGTGACATTTGTCACGTATGCACAATGAGTCAATGACTAGGTAATTGGAAGTTCTTTTCAAAAAAAAAAAGGTAATTGGAAGTTAACTTAATTGATAAACTAAACGAAGGTTTAAATCGAGCGTTTTTCATTTGAGAGGCTCATGTATTGACTTCTTTCATACATTACAAGGGGTTTTGACAGTTTTTCTTTAAAAGTATGTTGGAATTTAGGATTTTCTTAGTCAATATAATATTTTTAATGATTTGTGGTTCTGCCTTGGTATTATGACTCAATCCTGAAGTTAATAGTGAGACATTATAAATTAATCTGAAATATAACAAAGGTTATTAGTCTATGAGTCCGTTTGGTAATAGCCAAAATGTCAAATTGATTGCATTGACTGATTCTGTTGAAATTTATGAAATTCTGATTGATGTGGCTGTATTGGTTGATTCTTCTGATTTGTGAAAAACAATAATTTAAAATATATTTTATTAATAAAATAAAGAAAAGAATACATGAAAAAATAGCTAAAATGACCCTCTACAGTAACTTCAACCAATACTGTCAGAAAAGTAACTTCAACTCTACTTTTTCTTATTATTACACAACTTAGCGAGTAAAATCAAAAGTTACGTGTTTGGTGAAAAAATTGACTTATAAGCCTGAAAAGCCAAAAATGATGGCTGCCAAACGGCACTATATCCATCTAACGAGGAAGTCAGTTCGTTCATTACATTCCATCCCCATTATAGCTACGTTTACTAAATAATGTTTGAATTTGCAACCGATTCAGGTTGTGAAATTAAATAAGATAAAAAGAAATAAATTATTGAGGGTAAACAATAGAGATATACGTAGTACTAATCACGTGAAATAAGTGATAGAAGAACTGACTGACGCTATTTGAATAGAACTAAACTAGTATAGTACCCGTGCATACGCACGGGATATAGCAGTTGGCACATATATTTTTTACTCATATGAGAGAAAAATATGAGAGAAAAAATTATCTCAATCAATTGTTTAGTCTTCTTATCTTATACTTAGAACTACATATGAGGGAGAAAGTTGTTCTACTCAATTGTTAGCAAACTTATCTTCTACTACATAATACCTAAAAACACAACATATGAGCAATAAAATTCTCCCGCTCAGATCAATTCTCCTTCTCAATTGTTAGCAATCTTATCTTCTAATATCTAAAAGCACTACATATGAAAGAAAAAATCTTCTCGCTCAATTGTTAGTAAGTTTATCGTTTTTTATATCTAAAACTCTTACATATGAGAGAGAATGTTCTCCAGCTCAATTGTTAACCGGTTTATCTCATACCTAAAACACTACATATGAGAGAGAGAAATTATTTCGCTCAATTCTTAGCTGAATTATTTTATACTTAAAAGAACTATATATGAGAGATAAAGTTCTTTCGCTCAATTGTTAGTAAGTTTATCTTCTATAATAACTAAAAGTAGTACACGTGAGATAGAAATTATCCCGCTCATTTGTTAGCCGGCTTGTCTTATACCCAAAAGCATTATATATGATACAAAAAGTCTCTCTCTCAATTATTAGTTGGATTATGTTATAGTTAAAATCACTGCTTATTGAGAGAGGAAAATATCTCGTTCAATTGTTACACAGCGGCTTAATCTATCTTATATCTAAAAGCACCACACATGAAAGAACAAATTTTCCCGCTCAATTGTTAGCTGGCTTATCTTACTATCTTACTGAAAAGCACTACAAATGAGAGACAAAGTTATCCCGCTCAAGTGTTAGCTGGTTTATCTTTTTATACCTAAAAGCACTACATATGAGAGAAAAAAATTGGCCGCTGAATTGTTAGCCGACTTATTT